GAGGATGTATTTCCAGAAGAGATCCCACAGTTTCCACCAGAAAGGGAGATTGAATTCTCCATTGACCTAGTGCCTCATGTGAGGCTTGTCTCTTTGGCTTCATACCAGATGTCACTAGTGGAACTTGTAGAGTTGAAAAAGAAAATTGAAGATCTGTCCAGTAAGAATTTCATTAGACTTAATGTGTATCTTGGGGAGCACCAGTTATCTTTGTGAAGAAGAAGGATGGAACTATGAGGTTGTACGCGGATTAGCAGAATTGAACAAGGTGAATGTGAAGAACAAGTATCCTATACTCGCAATGATGATTTGTTGGATCAGCTTAAAGGTACTTCCGTATTTTTGAAGATGGATCTTTGTTTCGGATATCATCAAATCCGGGTAAAAGCAGAAGATATTCCAAAGACGGCTTTTCGATCTAGATATTGGCACTATGAGTATCTAGTGATCCCATTTGGGCTTACTAATGCCCCGACCGTGTTAATGAGTTATATGAACTGGATTTTCAAACCACATTTAGATCAATTTGTTGTGATATTCATTGATGATATGTTGATCTACTCTAAGAGTAAGGAAGAACATGCAGAGCATTTGAAGATAGTCCTACAGATTTTAAGGAAGCATCAGTTATATGCCAAACCATCCAAGTGTGAGTTTTGGTTACATGAGATCCAGTTTCTTGGACACGTCAACTCATCTACAGGAGTGGCTGTTGATCCGAGTAAAATTGAAGTTGTGCTGGATTGGGAGAGACCCAAAAGTGTTACTGAGATCCGGATTTTTCTGGGTTTAGCCGGATACTACAGGCGATTTATTAATGGATTCTCCAGAATTGCCTTGCCATCGACTAGATTGACCCGAAAGGGGGTGCCATTTGAATGGACCCTTGGGTGTGATGTGAGTTTCAAGAACTGAAAGATAAGTTGACCATCGCATCGATTCTGATTCTTCTTGACCCAGAAAAGAGATTTGAGATTTATTGTGATGCATCCAAGTATGGATTGGGGTGCGTGTTGATGCAGGAGCGAAAGGTAGTGGCCTACGCTTCTAGACAGTTGAGACCACATGAAGAGAATTACCCCACTCATGACCTTGAGTTAGCAACTGTGGTTTTTGCATTGAAAATATGGAGACACTTCTTGTATGGTGCTACTTTCACAGTGTTTAGTGACCACAAAAGTTTGAAGTACCTATTCAATCAAAAGGAGCTTAATATGAGGCAAAAGAGATGGATGAAATTTCTGAAGGATTATGAGTTTGACCTTCAGTGTCACCCTGGAAAGGCGAATGTTGTGGCTGATGCTTTGAGCAGAAAGACCACGGGTGTGGCTAGCACGATGATTGCAGAGTATGACTTGATTGAGGAGTTCAGGGATTTGAGAATTTCAGTTACACCACTTCAGTCATGAATGCATATATATATATATATATATAAACAAATTTTTATTAGTTGAGAAAAATAAATAAATAAAAACTTATATATATATATATATACTTTTTATTGTGTTCTAACTGATCACGACCTCCTTCTTGCCACTATACATATGTAGTTATCTTTCACTTTGTCCACCTCTCTTGTAATTTTTCTATTATATGAATAATCGTCAATTAGCATTAGGGGTGTTCGCGGTCTGGATTGGATCGGTTTTGGAAGCAAAAATCATCTTATTGTGCAAATCTGATCCAATTAAATCCAATTTTTTTCGGTTTGGATTGAATTGATTTTTCGGTTTTTTGAAAATCCTAAGATTACTTTCATGATTATTGTGCAAATAACATCTTTTGTATATATTGGCTTTGTAGACTTCTTTTTTTAAATACAAAAACATCAGTAAACGATAATATAATTTTTTTTTGGACAATGAGATATCAAGCTCTACACAGATGAAATTTTGTTGATGAGATGTGACTAGATTTTTTCTTGGATTTAGTTGATGGGTTAATAGATCTTGCGTTTAGAAATTTTTGAGCTATGATTGGAAAAATGACTAAGTAGGTAGAGGGGAATTAATATATTGTATCGGTTTGAATTGGATCAGTTTTCATCAACCCATCCGAAAATCGATCTAATCCAATTAAAATTTGCAATTTTTCGATTTTTGATTTATTCGATTATCGATTTTTCGGTTCGGTCACCACGGTTTGAATCGGTTGATGAACATCCCTAATTAGCATGTCTTGTACAAATGCAATGACATGAACAAACTCTCAAAATTGATATCCATGATCAATACTTACTACTCCTTATATTATATATATCATTGGCATTCTAGATTTTGCTCGGGGCAATTAAGTTTTCATCATTCTAATTGCCCTGACCATATATTAATTAGGGCAATTACTATAGAAATTATACAACCAATATTTAATTTCAGTGCTTTATGTCCAAATTATAGCAAGGAGATTTTGGAGGGGGGAGATACTCAACAAAATTAGGGTTCGGTGTTTCTCATATTGTAACAGATAAAATTATCTCCTACACATATAAAAGTATATGGGGCTGATCATGTGAAAAGAAAAAATAAAATGAAAAGATGGGCCCAACACAATTTTATGTGTGTGTAGGAGATAAATTCAACATGAGACATTAAAGCCAAAAAATTATGGTTGAACCAATATTATGAAGACTAGACCCATCATTGACTCAGTTGAAAAGGTTGATTTAAATTTATAAAAAAGTATGTAATAAATATATTAATAATAGTAATAAAATATTACAATAAATTCAATGGCATAGTGGTTGTTGTCATTGAATTCCTCCAATGTATACTGTGTTCAAATCTTTCTAAGTGCTGATGTTCATAAAAAACACCTACCATCATGGAATTTATATTTTGCGACGGTTCATAACTGCCTTTAATATAGCATTCTGCGTCGGTTAGTAATCGTCGTCATTCTGAGTCGGTTCCAACCGTCATTGAATATAGATATTATGCGTCGTTTTACAACCGCCTCTGAAAGCTGTCGTGGAATTGTGATATTCAATTACTGGTCAGTAGGACGTCGTTGTTAGTTATTCAACGACGGTTGGCCCCTGACCGACACGAATTATCTGTCGCAAAACACACATTTTCTTGTAGTGTAAACTCAGTGAAGTAGTGAAACAACAAACTCTGGATATTTCGATTCTTCCATCAGATACGGAATTTTTATCCTTTTATTGTATTCTTCCGTTGTTTTCTTATATTTCCAAACAGTGGATACGGAACATGGTTCTTTCTTGTTTGCCTAGGTGCAAAATTCAAGTGTTAGGAGTTTTACGAGTGTTATTGAGCTGAGTTTGTGCAAGTTGTGATGAATTTGAAACTTGAATTAGTATAAATAGTAGTATTTGGCTAGTGTTTTACAGCATCAGTCATTACCGCAATATCAGAGTATATTCATAGTCTTATTGCTAATACGTTCTATCTTTTCCCTTTTCCATTCAATTCCTAGAGTCCTATCAAGTCAAAATCATGACTGCACCAGAAGTTGTTCGGGGAGTTATATGTGGGGCATTCCTTGGTCTTAGTCCGATTGATACATGTTCCTATGATATCTACTTTGTTAGGTTCAATAAATCCAATGTATGTAATAGAAGGAAAAGAATTTCAGTGTGTGTGACCACGCAAAGTAGTTCAAGATCAAGAATATTCCATGTTTCCAAGAGAATGCATGTGTTTCATAGTACAGATAAAGCTCATCATGGAAAGACTGATTTTGATCGATTAGAATCTACTATGTGCAATTGTAAACGGCTAGAAAGTGTTAGCAGCAATACAATCAATGATCAAGACAGTACCCAGCCCAAGCTGGACTAAAGACTAACAGTGGGTTCTCTTAACGAGACTGTAACTGATAGTACACCACATGTCAAAACATAATAAACTCACCGCTAGAATATATTGGTAAATAAGTCAACTCATTTTCAAAAAATCATAATTTCTGACTGAGGTGTTAGAATCGTGTAGTTCTCGTGAAATTAAAAAAAAAAATTGCCTGATTCGAACACCCGAGTTAAAAATTATGACATTTTGAAATTTTTCAGATAAAATTTCCAAAATTTTGCATTATGTGACATGAAATAATAGGGTACCAAACTATTTATAAGTGACAACGAATTTAGTCTATCATTTCATATCACGACATTTGAAACTCCCTGCCTGACAACAAATATGTCATCTTGACATTTTGGCAAAATTTTACGATAAGATGACTTTCACATAAATATTTTGTGGAAATATGACAATATTGTCAAAGTCCCTTAACTTCTATTCTCGGACAGTGATACTAATTCAATAATATATACATTCGATAAAAAATAATCAACAAAATCATTTTTTTTAAACATCTAGTTTTTTTATTTTATGAATCTATATTAATATAGTTTGTATACCTATTTGAATTGATTTATAATAAAATCTAGGAATTAATATTTCTCATATTATAAGAAATAATTTTATCTCTTATACACACATAAAAATATGTGAGGTCCATATTTTATTTTTTTCTCTCTTTTCTTCACATAGCGGCCCCACACATTTATATATATATATATATATAAAAGACATAAAATTATCTTCTATAACAAAAAAAAATTAATTCCTAAAATTTAATAATCCATTTTTTCCGCGGGGGTGTGGGGGAGATTCGCATAACGTTTAATTTCAACTTTCAGATTTTATTTAACATCTCAAGCCTCAAGGAGACCACTTATTTCATCCGTATAGCTTTAAACCCTCACCTTGAGAACCCCAAAGTGACATGACATTGAAGGACAACCTGGCTCTTTATCCATGGTACACCAGAATTTCGAAACCAATAGATGCAATAAACAATTCCGAGTCACACACAACATGCAATTCCACTGATCTATTCTCCATGCCAAAGGACAATTCAAACAATTCAAAACGTTTAGCATGTAAAGGAATAAATGTTGACCTTGTCTAGAACATGCTAAGCACGGATAAGTATAAACTTGAACATCCGGTCCTCACACAAGTATTAATCAATCCCTTACATCAAACAAACAAAGAACCATTTTCATTTAAGTTCTACACCTCCATTGGTAACCAGAGTCTGTAACTAAGCAAATTTATTAAGGCACCAAACATAAATACAAAGAAAACCAGTGGTACATATTGAGGATATTTTGCAAGGTTTGTGCTGCAAAATACCCACCTCCTCAATCTGAAATTGCCAAGTCATTCTTTCTTTCCTATTCCATTTGACATATTATAGATCCCTCGTCCCTGAACAAAAGGCATAAAACGATGTTAAAAAAGATATACCTCCAGAAATATGAGGAAACTCACTGATAATTTCAATCTGACAAAATCAATATTGATGATATGAAGATTTCTTCTGATAATGAACAAACTTACAATCAGAAACAATGAAGATGCTGCCAAAGCAAGTGGTATTGCAACAGATGTAATCTTATCATATGGCCCTTTCAAGTATGTGTGTTTATGGATACTCTGGTAATACTTTTGCTTCTCAATAAGCTTCTCTCGTGGTCTAAAGGGTGGTTCCGACATCCTGCATAACGTAGTCAATAATTACCTCATAAACGCTTTTCCCCACTATAAAGGGGAAAATAATGAAGAGGATATGACATGAAAAACAAATAAAATTGTACGCCCCAAAAGGAAACTCTCTATAGCTCACAAACATAGCAAAATTGAAAGACATGGTTGAAGCCAAATCACGCATCAAACAAGTGAAAAAATAACAAACGGCACAATACATAAATACACAAGTACATCTATCTAAACGACCCAACCATAATTTATATCAATTAAAGTGGGTTACTTATTTTACCAAAAAAAGAAAGAAAGTGGGTTACTTATAAGAGGTGACCAACATCAAATTATCAATCAGTTCACTAATTTCGTAATACCAAAAGGCCCCAAAACAAAATTTCACATACAAATTTAGCATAAACAACATTCATATATAATGTGATAAAATGTAACATATTATATTAGAAGAGCTTTACACAAACAAAGAAGCAAGTTTCCAAGGGAATAATATTTCTCATACTAAGAGATAATTTTATCTCTACACATATATAAAAATATGTGGAGTCCATATTATTATTTTTTTCTCTTTTTTTTTCATATGATAACATGGCTTTACACATTTTTATGTGTGTATAAAAAATAAATTCTACTATATAAGAAACATCAATCCCAATAACAAAATAGTTTGTTTATTTATTTATTTATTTTTATGAGTTTAATATTTCTCATATTATAAAAGGTAAAATTATCTCCTATATATATACATTCATAAAATATGTGAACTTATTTTTTTTTTTTCTTCTCTCTTCAGATGTACCTCACATACTTATACTTTTATGTACCTCATATACTTATACTTTTATGTGTGTATTATCTCCTACCATATAAAAAACATCAAAAACCTTTATTTATATATCCTCGTCTCTCAAACAAATTGACAAACACCACCCAAGGGCCCTTTGCATCAATACTCAATAGGATGATGTTTGATTAAGGAGAAACCTTGGTTGCCAAGGTTCTATGGAACTCTTATGTCACAACTATACATCCTAATCTACATATTTTATAGTTATACCTTAAGTTGCTGCCAACTGATAGAAAACCCTCCTAGAAGAACGAAATAATTGAGTTTTACTATTAGGACTAGAATGAGTGAGGAATACACAAAATATTAAAGATCATCATTGAACTAGAGGAGCGAATTGACAAGAAATCAAATTAGGCAAAAGAACAAAAAGATTGAAAATCAAAAATGAACTGAAATTATTGAAAAGGAAAAAAGAAAAACCGCAGCAAGATGACCGGAGAGAAGTCACGCTTATGCAGTGCAGAGAAAGGGGTAAGCTTACTTTGAAGGAAAGGAGAGAAAATGGAGAGCACGCTGCAAGCCTTACTAATTCTAGAGTCATCGATTGAGGAAGATGACAATATTATACGCACATTGTCCACTGGTCTTGGTTCCTGGAATCTTCTAATATTCCCATTTTATTCCTCAATCATTCTATTTTATTCTTTTTTTTGCTACAGTCCTTATATCTTGTTTTATTCGAAAAACTTCTTATTACTGATTACACAAAGTTCAGTCGCACAAATAATGTTAGATTAAGAAATTGGAAAAACAATGTTACAAAATAAAGAAAATAAAAAGTGAAAGCATCAAGTTGTGTGCGTAATCATTAAAGTTTCAATAATTTTGAATTGAGGATGATTACATTGAATTTTTTTTTTTTTACAAATTACGTTATATCTTATCGATAAAATTTTATTTAAAAATATTTTATCGATAAAATATAATATAATTTATAAATAAAAAATTTATAAATATAATTTTTTTTTTTGAATTTGTGCATGTTTATTTCATTTTTTTTTAAAAAATGTTCAAATTTGTATATTTGTATCTAAGTTGTATGTTGAAATATTTAAGTGTGATGAGTGTCATGTTAGTTAATTGATAATGGGATCAATTAAATAAATATAAGTGGATAGACTTATGAACCTAATTCCTTAATATTTTGGATTGAGATATGATGGATTGAACTTACTTAATATAGAGTTATAACTTTAATTCATCGGTGATGGTCCTCCATGATATACTCCTCCTTGAACCCGCTTGACATTGTCAATTTGCCATTGTTTGTGAAAGTCAATTTAAGCCCCTGTTGATAGTAAATAATAATAAACTAATTCAATTTTGTTTATAAACAAGAGCAGTGTTACACCTTGAATATATTTAGAAGTAATCCTTCAATTCAGGTGCTGCATGTAGGGGTGCTAAATGAACTAGGATCTTTCAATCTTTGATTTGGTTCGTGAAGATCTGAGATTATATGTCTAAAATTAATTATTAGCACCAGACTTGAACTTGTATAAAAATTCGTTTAATAAAAAGGTGGCCTTAGTGTATATATATATATATATATATATATATATATATATATATATATATATTATACTACTGGTAATAGTCCTCTCTTTCTCTTCAATCCATTTCACCCTAATTTATTGGTTAAACAGACTTTTTGAATGATTTTGTTCTGTATTATGTTATTTGGATATACATTAAATTTATGAATATTTATGAAATTACTAGCGTTGTTGATTGTATATTCTGTTTGTAGGAGCGTAAATGGGCTAGGCCGGCCTAAGGGGCCTACGACCTTGCTTATATTAGGCCAGGCTTGGCCTGTTATAAGTAGTAAAATAGAATAGGTCTAGACTTTTAAAAAAATCTATTTAGAAAACAGGCCATAGGCTTTTTTTGTACATGTCGGACCTATAAGCCTACAGGCCGGCCTATATCATATTATTTGTTTAAAATATAATAAATAAAATTATTATTTAATAATTTTGAATAATAAAATAATATTATTTTAGTTATTCATTTAATTGTTGTATGTTTAATAGGGTTAAACAGGCTAACAGGCCTAGGCCAAGACTTTTATTTTTTGAATATAGGTCAGGCTACACTTGTAATTTGGAGCCTACACAAGCTAATAGGTCATACCCAATGTTTTTTACACAGGCTTGGCCTATTTAAGCCAAAGCCTAGCCTAGCCCAGCCCAGCCCAGTCCATTTACACCCCTATCTGTTTGGATAAATTTTTGTTCTCTTATTTTTTTTAAACAGGCTAAACCAGGCTTTTATTTTTTGTAAATAAGTCAGGCCACATGCTAATAATTATATTTATAACAAGTAAGAGGCTTGGTCAGACTAACATAATCAAACACAGACTTAGCCTTCTAAAATCAAACCTCGGCTCGGCTCGTTAACACCCTGCACGAATCCTTATATTTTTTTAGTTGATATTTTGTATACAAAATGTTTGAGTTTTAGTGTAATAAATGTAAATAATAAAATTTTATTATATTTTGTATTTTGATTGAAAATACAAAATTTGCTATTATGATAGCATAATATAAAATAAAATGTTCAAATTTATGTATGAAATGTGTAAAAATATTTAATTTATTAGCAGGTAATTAATATTATGTTCAAACTCATGCACGATAAGTCATATAAATTAATTTATCTATTATGTTCCAAAAAAAATAATTTTCTATCAATGACTAGGAATTGTAAAGATCAATTAAAAAATATGAAATTATGAAATAAGAAATTACCCGAAATAATTATTTAAAAATCTCTTGTTAAATATAACAATATATAAAGTATAGTAGTAGTATACATGTCTCCTTAATAAGAAAACCTTCTCCCATAAATGTTTTGTTTGACAGAAGTTTGTAACATAACCTTTATTATTATTATTATCATTTTTTTTTTTTTGTACAAACCTTTATTCGATCAGGACAACACTTTTTAATTGAAAAAAGTGTTAGAGGAGCGTAATTTTTTATTTTTTTTTTGGTAATAGCTTTTTTAACAAAGTGATTCATGTAAATTCCTGTAAAAAAAATAATATTCCTTATTAATTTATTTTATTTAACAGTTATCCTTGACTGAATTTTATTAAAATTTTAATTATATATCTTTTCTTGAATATTACTTTTTTAATAAAAAGCAAATCTCTCTGTTTATCCCGCACAAAATGCAAATAGAATGGGGTTTCGTTAAAAATAGAGTAGTGTCGTTTGGCACTTTGGCTATCGGATTGAACATGAAACGCCAGATAAACCTTGCGTTTTGGGTCCAAAAACCCTCTTAAAATATTTCCTATCGAGAAGGAAAAAGAAAGACCGAGAAAGAGAAGGAAAATAAACGATAAGCAAAAGCTTAACCACCTTTCACCTTTGAATTTTGATGTGATGATATAATTTACATGAAATATGATTAACTCGTTGCCGATTCTCTGTTAAGATCCTTTCTCTCGGGATCCTTTATCATCAATCACAGGTACGATTTTCCCAGTCGGTTTCCATTTTTTTTCCCGTGATGATAAACTCAGTGAAGTAGTGAAACAACAAACTCTGGATATTTCGATTCTTCCATCATATACGGAATTTTTATCCTTTTTTTGTATTCTTCCGTTGTTTTCTTATATTTCCAAACAGTGGATACGGAACATGGTTCTTTCTTGTTTGCCTAGGTGCAAAATTCAAGTGTTAGGAGTTTTACGAGTGTTATTGAGCTGAGTTTGTGCAAGTTGTGATGGATTTGAAACTTGAATTAGTATAAATAGTAGTATTTGGCTAGTGTATGTTTTACATCATCAGTCATCACCGTAATATCAGGGTATATTCGTAGTCTTATTGCTAATACGTTCTATCTTTTCCCTTTTCCATTCAATTCCTAGAGTCCTATCAAGTCAAAATCATGACTGCACCAGAAGCTGTCCGGGGAGTTATATGTGGGGCATTCCTTGGTCTTAGTCCCATTGATACATGTTCCTATGATATCTACTCTGTTAGGTTCAATAAATCCAATGTATGTAATAGAAGGAAAAGAATTTCAGTGTGTGTGACCGCGCAAAGTAGTTCAAGATCAAGAATATTCCATGTTTCCAAGAGAATGCATGTGTTTCATACTACAGATAAAGCTCATCATGGAAAGACTGATTTTGATATATTAGAATCTACTATGTGCAATTGTAAACGGCTAGAAAGTGTTAGCAGCAATACAACCAATGATCAAGACAGTACCCGGCCGAAGCTGGACAAAAGACCAACAGTGGGTTCTCTTAACGAGACTGTAACTGATAGTACACATCATGGAGAAGCAATTGGGGTAGATGGAAATGTAAAACATGAAAATGGAGGTTTTAACAAGTTTCCTAGTGATGGACTCGTTCAAGATCCATTGCACAAGGTCGGTGAGAATTCAATTGAGGATGAAGCATGGAATTTACTGAGGGACTCTATTGTTTATTATTGTAATAATCCCGTTGGAACTATTGCTGCTAATGACCCTAGCAGTACTAGTGTCTTGAACTATGATCAGGTCTTTATCCGTGACTTCATACCTTCTGGAATAGCTTTCCTCTTGAAAGGAGAGTATGATATAGTGCGGAATTTCATTCTTCATACCCTTCAGTTACAGGTGATGTCTTGAACTTTTCAGGATAATTAATTCATTCAAATAATCATGCTTGCTGGTCAAGCTAACCATGTTTTGTTGGCAGAGCTGGGAGAAAACCATGGATTGTCATAGTCCTGGACAAGGATTGATGCCTGCTAGTTTCAAGGTGCGGGAAATTCCCCTTGATGGAGATGATTCTGCAACTGAAGATGTCTTGGATCCTGATTTTGGTGAAGCTGCAATTGGTCGTGTTGCACCAGTTGATTCTGGTAGGCAATTTTTTCTATCCTATGGTTCTTACTTCTTATTTCATACTTTGTTATTTTTTTCAAACATATATTAATTATCATGCTGTAGTATTAACAATATATTATACTACTGTTAGGACTTTGGTGGATTATATTGTTGCGAGCATATGGGAAATGCACTGGAGATTTATCTGTGCAAGAGAGAGTTGATGTGCAAACTGGAATCAAGATGATTTTAAAGCTGTGTCTAGCTGACGGTTTTGATATGTTTCCAACTTTGCTGGTTACTGATGGTTCATGTATGATAGATCGTCGCATGGGAATACATGGTCACCCCTTGGAGATACAAGTTAGTACTCATTAGTTTATATTTTTGCTTCTAAAATTGCCACCTTCTTATAAGGATATGGACCCTTTGAGAAATTTTTGATGATTTTAAGAGCCAATATCAGTACTCACTTAAAACCAATATGCTTATTTAATACTATAGCCTTAATTTCTGTTATTAATGTCCAATGTTCAATAGGCATTATTTTATTCAGCACTTCTGTGTGCACGTGAGATGCTTACTCCTGAAGATGGATCAGCTGATCTTATCCGAGCGCTTAACAATCGTCTTGTTGCATTATCATTCCATATAAGGGAATATTACTGGATTGATATGAGAAAACTCAATGAGATCTACAGATACAACACAGAGGAATATTCATTTGATGCTATTAACAAATTCAACATCTATCCAGACCAAATTCCTTCATGGTTGGTGGAATTTATGCCAAGTAAAGGAGGCTATTTGATTGGAAACCTGCAACCAGCTCATATGGACTTCCGTTTCTTCTCTCTTGGAAACTTATGGTCCATTGTGAGTAGTCTAGCCAATACAGATCAATCACATGCAATTTTAGACCTTATTGAAGCAAAATGGGCAGAGTTAGTAGCCGACATGCCATTCAAGATATGTTATCCTGCTCTCGAAGGCCAGGAATGGCGGATTATAGCAGGAAGTGATCCCAAAAACACGTAATGGTGCTAGATATTACTCTCTATTATGTTATTCATCCTAGTTACAATCATTTATATCGACCTTTAATTTTTCTTGCAGTCCTTGGTCCTACCACAATGCAGGCTCGTGGCCAACTTTGCTCTGGCAGGTTAGTCCCTGGTCCTACCTTTCATTTCTCTTTATGTATACATGCTATATCACTTTTTTCTCGTTAGCAATTCTGTCCTCTTCTGTTTGATATCTAAAAACTGTAAGCTGAATTGTTTGAGGAAAATAGGAAAGGCAGAAAGGGTATCCAAAAAACTTTTTACATTCAATTTCAATCTAAAACCCAATTGGCCAGTTCAGCTATTTTGCTTTTCTTGTCAAAATATATTTGTCTTGAGCTTACAGGAATATAATATTTTGATCTTTTGAAAGAATTTATATCACCTGAGATCTGTGATAGGGAACAGACCACTTGGTTTTTATAAACTCACATTTTGTGTGTAAACTTACATTACAAAGCAACAGGCTCGAAGCAGAAGTTCAATTTTTTCACTCGATTTCACTTACTATACATCACAAAGCTGGCTGGAAGTGGACTTTGTGAATTAATAGATTATTACATTTTTTTTCTTCTTTTTTGCAGCTTACCGTAGCATGCATTAAGATGAATAGACCAGATATTGCTTTAAAGGCTGTCCAAGTTGCTGAGAGGCGGATATCGAAAGACAAGTGGCCTGAATATTATGATGCTAAGCGAGCTAGATTTATTGGGAAACAAGCACGGCTTTTTCAAACCTGGTCTATTGCCGGATACCTTGTAGCAAAACTCCTCCTTGCCAATCCAAATGCTGCTAACATCGTCATTAGTGAAGAGGATTCGGAGCTTAAAAATGCCTTTACTTGTATGATCAGCGCCAACCCAAGAAGGAAACGTGGTAGGAAGAAACAGAGCTTCATAGTATGAGCTGGTCTCGTGAAATAGATAGTCCTACCAAGGAAACGGTTTCTGTAAAATAGTGCTACCAGGATTTTGTTGAGTTTTGGTTTCATTTGGATAAGTGATATTTCTTGTAACATACAAATTAAAATTTGTAGTGAGGGTGACGTGATTACAAAGATATGGTTCTTATAGTTAATTCTGTTAATTGTTATCCTGCAAGTAGTAGCCCAATCGTAGTTCTCTCTTGAAATTTAGTTCACCCACGGTGGCCCAATCGAAGTATTGAAGGGAATCAAATTAAATTTGAAATGTTACTTTATAATCGAATAATATCTAGTGTGAAAAAAGTTTGTCATATCTCGTACGTATTAATCGTTGTCTTGGGAATTATTTGGTTATGTAATAGTTGTCGTATGTATTAATGCAAAACTTCTCCAAGAAAATATAATACGCTTAATCAACAAATGTTCAGTAAAAATGTTCAAATCATTAAATCCATGCACAATCCACGTTATTTATCGAGAGGAGATCCTATGTTACCGAGGGCTCATCTATTGCATACACTTCGATGGCGGAAAAAAATAATAATAAAAACAAAAGAACATCAATAGAGCTTGTAAACTGATTCAGTAAGATTTATGCATAATGAAAAACAATCATCTATTGCATACACTTCGAAGGCGGAAAAAATAAAAAATAAAAACAAAAGAACATCAATAGAGCTTGTAAACTGATTCAGTAAGATTTATGCATAATGAAAAACACTTTGATCCATGCAGTGAGTAGAGAATATGTACCCTACATATGAGGAGTGATGTAATTTACATAATAAAGATTCGAAACTGTAATTGTATATTTATCTGCACATCACAAGCTCGTATACGTTGAACAACCTTTTGAAGTTCCTATAAGAAAAACCTGCGTTACTTTATGAATATATCATCATATAAAAATAGGATGGATGACTCATTAACAAGTACGGTGCAAACGTAGGAAATAAGTGATGTATCAAACCCTTTCGCCAAGCAGCATGAGTTAGTTAAATTGCAAGGATCAATCAGAAATTAGCAATCACCAAAATCAATAAACAAAATGCATAATTTATTTTATTTTATTTTTGAAGATATAAGGATTCGTTTATTTTGAGTAAAATCAGATCGGGAATAGATCCTCTTCGATGTGATTTCACATAATTAGGTGATATGAATGATTTTTAATCATTGATTAGACAAATCACAAGTTATCTTTTCTTACCTTGTATTTTAGTCTTTTTTTCTCTTTCGTTTATCGTGGTTGATTTGTTTAAGATCCTTTCGTATAATCTAATTATGTGAAATCACATATGAGAAATCTTGAGGGCTGGCACAACTAGTAAGCGAGATGTGTCAAGGAGCAAATTTTTGGATTCGATTTCTAGGCAAAACAACCTGGTCTAGTTGCAAAAACATTTGCGCTCTATATCACAAAGGGAATTAGTTAATAACGGTAATTCGGGTTAACACGAATACATTCAACATAGATACAAAATAAATTTGAAAATAGATCAAAACCTTTAACATGAATTTGATCTGTTTATTTTGCGGTTGACACAACATAAATAATCCGTCAACCTTAAAGTGTATCGCTTATTTTGCAAGGAGGACATGACATGATACAAATAATTTGTCAACCTCAAAGTGTGTTACTTATCATGCGAGCTTATAAGGCACGAATAACTAGGGGTGTTCGCGATCTGGATTAGATCGATTTTGGAAGTAAAAATCATCTGATCCAATCACTTCAGTTTGATCATGTAATCATCCATTCGGTTTGGATTTTTTTTCAAATTCGATCCGATCCAAACCAATTTTTTTCGGTTTGGATTGGATCGGTTTTCGGTTTTTTGAAAATCCTAAAATTTGTTTTATGATTATTGTGCAAATAACATCTTTTGTATATATTGGCTTTGTAATTTTATTTTTTTAAAATACAAAAGCATTAGTAAACGGTAATATAATTTTTTTTTACAATGAGATATGAAGCTTTACATAGATAAAATTTTGTTGATAAGATGTGACTAGATTTTTTCTTGGATTTAGTTGATGAGTTTTGGGTTTGGAAATTTTTGGTCTATGATTGAGGAAAGACTCAATTAGATAAAGAGAAAGTAATATATTGGATTGGTTTGGATTGGATCAGTTTTCATCTACCATTCCGAAAATCAATCCATCCAATTAAAATTTGCGATTTTTTTTTTCGATTTTTCAGTTTTCAATTTTTCAGTTTATTAGGTTATCGGTTTTTCGATTCGCTCACCGCGGTTTGAATTGGTTTGGATTGGTTGTTGAACATCCCTAACAATAACATTCATATTGAAAGTTGTTTTCATCAATGTCGTGTTGACACAAAACGATACAAATAACCCTAAAATTATTAACACAATTCAATTTTGCATTTGAAAATTAACACGCAACATAATATGAATTTTTCCGTGTGAACTTTTATAAACACAAAAATAAATTTGAAATTGAGTCGACCCGAATATAAATTTCTCGCATTGTGCCAGGTTGTGGACAAATCTTGTCATCCTACGATTCGTGTCATCTAGAGTGAGGATACCCGAAAAAAAAATTATACATGAGAATATCCAACTTCAAATCATTTACATAACTTAGGTCACCCTCCCTTTCCTCCTGAGTAAGTATAAGGTGTTAATTAAAGTTCAGGAATTTCAATATTATCGATCAAAAAATGGTCATGTCTCACTTCAATGTTTCGCCAGAGACCATTTCGATCTTGTCATTGGCTAATTTTCCCCTTCAATTGCTCCACAGCCCCCCCGACAGACACACACACACACAACCCAATCCCAATCCCAGTCTATCATTGTAATTTATTCAGAGTTGGATACCTAAATATGTGACAGCATCACGTGGACTGCATTTGCTTGAGCGATTTGCCCTCTTACTACCAAAACGTGATGATTTATCCAAACCAAATTCTTAATTATTGGATGAATTGGTCATGAAGACATACACACAAAACAAAATTAAGCGAAAATTCATGAGACACCAGTTGGCTGTTTCCCTATTGAGCTTCTGTCCATTAAAGACCTTAGAAGGAAACGGCTACTCGAACCCAAACAAAAAATATCACTTATTAACTTATAGGTTTAGTGTGTCTCGTTCAAAAAGACATAAGTTGTGTCTTTTTAGTGATTTGCACAGAGTACGACAGATCGTATTTTGTGTAATTCTGAAAAGTTACTTTTTTTTTTCACTTACACGTCAACAATGTGACTGGAGAAAGAAAAAAAAAGTAACTTTTCAGATTTACACAAAATACTACTGATCGTACTTTGTGTAAAACACCTAAAATAACACAAGTTTGTGTCATTCAAAAAGGATACTTCATTTTCCTTAACTTATATTATTATAACCATAATAAGCAAACTCTGCAATTTAATAATTAATTACAATTAACAACCATCATCATGCATGGACCCCTTTGCTGTGCTTGGGCCAGGTTAAGTTGGACTTGAGCAGGTGGTTTTAAGTGGTTGTCTTTTCTGGTCATGATTTGTTGAAACGTTAATTTTCCAATTGTCATGAAAAGTGAGGGGGTCTTGAATTAAGACATGACTCATGATGGCCACAATTGATTTCGGGTTTCTCTTACATATATAAATTAGTATAAATTCATGGGATAACATTGGTCTTATATCTAAAAGGGAAACGATGACCCATTGCATGCATATTAATTAGAAGTGGAAGCTTCGGTTAGTGCGTACTATTCAATAAAGATCTGTCTGTATTCTGCAAGTAGTGACCTTCATTACATTATGATATTCGGCTCACCCACTAACAATGAATAGCATAATGAAAAAATGAAAAAGAAAAGCCAATACTATTTTGTATAAGGTGTATCTTTTTCTTTTAAATTTATTTATTAAATAAATATTTTGTGGGGGGTAAATAAATAAGGATTCATTTACTATAATATTTTTTCTAGAATGAACATCTCAACTTATACATAAATAATACTACAATGTTAAAAAAAGGTTTGAAAAATTTAGTTAGAATTGTATAAGATTTAAGGGGGGAAATCTAATATATTTGAGAGTAATATTATCAACAACTGAGATTTTATTTAGTATTTATTACATAATATTTAAAATTTAATTCAATGCCCTATATTTATGTAGTCTAAAGATTGAGTGTAACAGTCTCAAAGTATATAATAATTTATCATATTTAAAGACCACTTGTATATTTTATTGGATTGGGTGGAATACTCTCAAAGTATACAAGACCACTTGCATATTTAAGGAGAAAAAACAATTCTAAAATATTATTGTCTTTTTTTTGGAAATATTCCAATCGGTTCATTGCTTCGCAACTAATCCAATTCGGGACGGATCCAGGATTAAGGCTTTAAACCCCTCCCAAATGTGGTACTGAGGAGATTCGAACGCATGCTCTCACCTCCACCTGCTTAGCTCCCATGCGCACACTGAGCTACCACCATGAGCTAAAATATTATTGTCTTTAAGTATGCGTATAAGAGCGCATCTATATAACCTTGAGTCTTAGTATATTAAAATTATGATTCACTTTAAATTAAACGAATGATAGATATATTTTAACAACACTTTAAAGACAAACACATTTTATAAAAGTCTTATCACATCAAAGAGTTAATAATAATGTCAACTCCCTAAAATTTTAACTTCTAATATTTTCCTTTGTAAATTCATGGGTGTTTCTATGTGTTTGCTTCAAATTCACCTTACCATAAAGTTTAAAGAAAGAATTTGTTATGAACTAGATCCATATCTCAACAGCCCATCAAACAGAAGAGAAGTATAACTTAATAATCCAATCATTAGAGGATCGAGGGATAAAATTCCTATCCCAACAACCATATCAACTAGCTAACAACAATGAGGTATCCAAGGCCCATATCCAAGAAGGTAAACGCTATAAATAAAAGCATACTCTCCAAAAGAATAACATGGCATATACATCTCAAAAGATAATAAAATCATGAATCATGTCATGTACATATCAAAATACTAGTCTAAGATCACATGTCATATCATGTCTCTACCCTGGCTTCCTACCATGCGATGTCTCAGCACCATCAGTCTCTGTACCTGAAATATATCCCCACATGGAGTGAAATAATCATCTTAGGAAACTAGGGATCCTTGGAGGACTCCTCCACCCCTAAGTTCACTTCAAGTATAATCACAATATAAAACAATATATGCATCAGAATATATATATCATGAATGTGTGCGATAATATATTCTACCGGCCAGAGAACCTACAATGTATGAATTATGCAAGGAATCATCGTCTTGCAATATACCAAGTATAAGGAATTATCGTCTTATACTATGCACAAGGAATCACCGCCTTGTGTGACACACAAACAACATACATATACATGCATCATATCACCAAATCCATTTTCAAAACATACCATATGTAAAAACCACCCTCCCTCGGAGTTTGTGGAACAAACGAGAGATTAATTCCAAGGATTGAAAGCTTACCTGTAGTAGCCTCCAACCAAAGCCTACTTCAAGCCCAAGTAAGGTCCGCAAGAATTGCACTTGAGTATCAACTCTATTTTATCTCTACACACAAAACCTATTTCAAAGGTGAAGTGTAACATCCCGGGCGTTGACGAGGGCGGAGAGTGATCGTTGGTGCGAAAGGGCATGGACAAGGAGCGGCTCCTGGCAGACTTCCAGCGACGGGGGTACATGAATGAATCGAATCAACATCCGAAAGAGAGGGATTTTAGAGACTGTGCTGGTATGGGACAGTACAGTTGAGAATAGCTTATAAGAATTAATTGGTACTACCTATACTAACAAGATGCATCTACTTTTCGGTAGCCCAGAATGGAAGAACTCCATAGTTAAGCATGCTTGACTTGGGGCAATTCTGGGATGGGTGACCTCCTGGGAAGTTTTCCCGGAAAGTGTGCGAGTGAGGACAAAGCACACTGAAAAGTCTTGTGTTAGTGTGTGGGGACAGTCGTTGATCCTTGCAAGTTGCCAGGCGTTACATGAAGGGTATCTTTAATCACATATATACATATAACAAACAAGTAAGTCTCATCATCAGACCAATGTTTGCTACTTACCTCAACCTCTAGCGGTCAAGAACCCATGTCATGTTCCATTACTTAATCGAATCCTTGATCTATCTCCACAAGCTCACTTGGTTTCACATTATAAACCAATGAACACATAGCCATCAATATCAAAACTTGTAAGACTTAAGATTTCCACTTAACCATAAGCAATATTTACTTGGTGGAGACTTAGATTCATAGTAGGTTGTCTCTAATTAACCTCATTAAGCCCCTATTTCAGTCTTAGAACGATTCTCATGTAAAAATATCATTTTTCTCGAAAACATGACAATTTCTGGATATTTCTCGGGGGCATATCCAGTTATTATATCTGGATATTTTGCGTCAGTAAGCAGAATCAATAACCATCACAAAATGGATTCCATTTTACCCCAATATACAACAAAATACCACTTTCCCAACACCCTAGCATGCATTTCTATACATGGGTTCATATTCCAATATTTCATTTATCGAAACCCCAATTTCCTTTAACCTAACTCATGAAATTTCCATAAAACACAAAGGAAGGGTTATGTTTTCTCACCTAGAAGCTTCTACACAAATAGTTAATGGCAACCCAAGTTTTTAATAGTGGAATACTCCTTCCCCAAGCTCCAAATTCGAAATGGCAACTCCTTAGGTGAGTTTTCTTCTCCAAAACTACCAAGCTCTTTGTTGTTTCTAATTGGGAAGTGATGGAAGATGAAGATGGTGGGGATTCTCTCTTGTTTTTAGAGTGAGAGGTGAAACACAATGGTGAGGAAGAAGAGAGCTCTCCTTCGACTATGGAGACTACACCCGCGTGAGAAGAAGAGAAATGAATGAGAGAGTGTGTCTTTTGTTACTTTAAGTGAGTTGTAACATTTAATTGGGTATAAACTTATCTATCACACTTTAACTCTTTTTAAAACTTAACATTTTGGTTCATAATATTTTTGTCATGCTATGCTCTATTTTATCTGAGTCTCGAGTAATTTTGTTTATCCATATTTTTATCCCAAAACTATCATTGTTCACACTTTTTTTCTCCAAAAAGGTGATTTACTTTATGTAAATTAGAATTCTCATCTAATTATCCCCTTTAATTATTAATTAAATTCCAAAATTCAGAATTTAGTGATTTAGGTTACTATATTCACGGTCTAACCAGACCAAACATGATTCAAACAAAATATTGAAACCTCATGTTTTTTCAATAAATAAATAAATAAATATTTATTTATATATATGGGAAAAATATTTATCCTTTTAAATGACACAACTTACATCATTTTACTCTCACAAAGAGGTGAGACCCACACCTTTATTTTTATTTTTCAACTCTCTCTCCTCCTTTATCTATCTCTTTCTCTCTCTTAAAATGACACAACTTTACATTCTTTAAAATGACAAACAATTTTCCCTATATATATATATATATATATATATATATATATATATATTGAAATCTCGCAACAAGTGACAAATTATTTAACTATTATATGAAAAAAATATCAATTTTTATAAATTTTTTTGGCTTTAATGTTTCTACAGTGAATGTAGATAAGTTATCTATATTCACTCCCAAAACAACGTCGTTTTGAGTTGAAAAATTAAAAAATTATAATGAGAAATACTATTATAATCCTGAAATAAATTATAATTACAAAAATATTTTGATTTTCACCCCAAACCGAGGTTGTTTTGGGCACAATATAGTTAAATTATCTATTTTGAACCCTATTTTTTTTTTTCATAAAAATTAATCATACAAAAAAGTTACAACTTTTTACGGTTGAAGATTGTAAATAACCTGAAGGCCCATTTTCAAAATAGGTTATTCTAGATAATTATGGCCCATACACACACATATTTTGCTTAACCCAACCCCTTATAAACTCAAAAACTCTCTCCCAAACACTTCCATTCCCTCTTCCCAACACAATGGACCCATGGCTCGACGATCTCGCCGACGACCTCCAGAGCCTAAGCTTCGCCTCCACAGCCACCACCACTGCCACCGCCGACATCAAACGGAGCACAAGCTTCGGCTCCGAAACCACCACCTTAACCGCCTCCACCTCCGCACACCTGCCAACGGCCCCATCACACCCCGCCACATCCAAACCCCACGCGCCCTCCTCCGACCCTCGCTGGGCCGCAATCCACCGGATCCGATCAGAGTCCCCCAGCCGCCGCATCCTCCCCTCCGACCTCCGTTTCTACCGTCGCTTAGGCGCCGGGGACATAAGCTGCGTATACCTTGCCGAGCTTAACGACGGCCCGGTGCCGGCGATTTTCGCCGCAAAGGTGATGGACAAGAAGGAGCTTGTGAGTCGCAGCAAAGAAGGGAGGGCGAGGACAGAAAGGGAAATACTTGAATTGTTGGATCACCCTTTCTTGCCAACTCTTTACGCCGTCATTGACGCCCCCAAATGGCTCTGCCTCCTCACCGAGTTCTGCCCCGGCGGCGACCTCCACGTCCTCCGACAACTCCAGCCCAACAAACGCTTCCTCGAACCCGCCGTCAGGTGCGCACGCGCGTTACCCGCTTCCACTTTTATCATTCATATTTTATTGTTTGTACTATGTTATTGTTTTTTTTGTTTGGGTGAAGGGTTTGAGTCAGTGAGTGAGTGAGCCTGTGAAAAGTGTGAAAACTGAAAAGCGAAAAACGAGGATAGAGTGTGGGATCCGGTGTGGGCGTGCGTAGCCTCGTTGAGATCTTGAACCGCTATCATAAATCATAACCAACGATGAAACCTGAAAGTGTGGGACCCACTCGCTGTCACCATCACTCGCGGTATTCTTCTCCGGCGACCTTATTCTCCCTTAAATCAAATTTAAGTCTGATAAAATTAAACGAAGCCGTAAACATAATTTTTTTTTTTTTTTTTTCTATCTAGGTGATTATTGAATTATGAACAATTGAACATAACTCGCGGCATAAAATAGGTGAAAGATTGAATGTGAATTATATGTAGTTAAAGGTGGTAGTGGAAGATTCATAAATTAAGAAATAATCATTAATCATTATTCGTCTATCAAAATTGTGCATAAATTATAGGTAGGTCAACGGACAATTAATTGGTGACGTGGCTTTCCAGCTTAGGGTCACTTATTACTTTACTTTTTAACCGTTCGGTTCGGTGTTGTGTCTGAGCCACCACGTGTGGTTGGTTAAGGAATAATAATTGGTTAATCATTCTTGCATGTGCCTACAATTTAGGTAAAACGCTACTTTCGAAAGTCAAAACGACACCTTCCAAGGTCAGCAGCTACTCATCACTCCTTCGTTTTACTGACTATATGATACGCTACCATTCTATTGGCTTTCTATTTCGTCTTTGTAGTTTGTGACCAGCAAATTAAGGAAAATGAAATTATGGTATGGTGATCCAGCATACCTGAACTCTTGCCAGCTACAAGCTCTTTCTTTCGTATTAAATTTTATATTACTACTATTTTTATTTATTTATTTTTGCGAGAATAATCTTAAAATATGTTTATTGTGTTTTTTTAAAATCTATATTTGTAAAATATCAAATCTTCAATTTTTGAAAATATCAATTTTACAAAAATATGTGAGGAATTCATGGGTCATCAACCCAAAGATCTCCGGGGAAATCGAAATAATTTATCCTCGAACCCAGAAAATTTTGCGGGATTTCTGGATTTTTATTTTATTTTAATTAAATGGGAGGTTAATCATGCAGTGGTCCCTCATTGGGATATGTTCTTCCAAAATCGGGTTCTAGAATTCGCAACCCTGTTATTAGTTTTTTTTCTTTTATTTTAACAAATTTTTCTGTTACGTAACGTAGATTTGCGTTTGACTGTTCCTTCATATGTTCCTGCTTTATGTATTTTTTTTTTGTTTTAAAAAAATATTCATAGCTTGTCTCTTTCGTGACCGTTCAAGAATTTTATTTTATTTTATTTTATTTTATTTTATTTTGTTTTGTTGCGGATGCTTTTTACGTGATTAGGAAAACTCTTCCTACCAATGAAAGCAAAAGCCGTGTCTTATTTCATATGCATTCAACCTGATTTTTTTTTTTTCTTTATTAGAAATTATTTCGAAATTCAATATGCTATCTTTTGGATGAAGAGTTATTTTCCCGCTTTTGTTTTGTTGTCATTATATGCACTTCTAATGTGAAACATACAACTTTTTGAATTAACTCTTGACATACATATGGTAGTGTCTTTGACATTTTTTCATTTTCTTTTCAATAATATTATTATTGCCCGGAAGATATTTCGCGCAGCATATGGAAAATTCAAAAGCAAAAAAACATTTCTATCCTAATAATAGTATAATTCTCTTAGACAAATATTCTCGCACAACAAAAAAATCAGAATTCAATGATATCCTAATAATTCAATTGATATGTTATTAGCCTAATAATTAAGAATAGACTACGGCAAGACAATTGATGTCCCTGTCTGATCCTTATTATCCCTTCGGTAGGCCTAACCTAACAACGAAATATACTTATCACTTATGCATATTTTGTGTCATGTTGTCCAATAGTCTTCTTTTAGGCATTAGAGATAGCATTATTGCATTTTTTTTTTTCTTCCAATTGTAGACCAAGCTTCTTCTTATTTATCCAAACACTTATATTATAAGCTAATTCCGGTTATCATTAACTTGTCTTACTTTGGATTTAATTAGCATACTATAGTTAATGCTAATTCCACTATTCATCTCGTGGTGTTTACAGGTTCTACGCATCAGAGGTATTGGTGTCAATTGAATACCTTCACATGTTGGGGATAGTGTACCGTGATCTAAAGCCTGAGAACGTGTTAGTTCGATCAGACGGTCACATCATGCTGACTGATTTTGACCTCTCATTAAAATGTGATGATTCCAGACCAACGGCCCAGATCATCTCGGCTCAAAACTCTCCTCTCGTAGTTAAGGAACCCAAAGTTGAACCCTCTCAATTCACCTCCTCTTCGTGCATATTACCCAACTGTATAGTCCCTGCAGTGTCGTGTTTCCACCCAAAACGCAAGCGGAAGAAGAAGCAAAAAGAGCGTAGTGGGCCTGAGTTTGTGGCCGAGCCCATTGATGTTAGGTCCATGTCATTCGTTGGGACCCACGAGTACTTGGCTCCAGAGATCGTGTCCGGTGAGGGACACGGTAGTGCCGTGGATTGGTGGACCTTAGGGATATTTATATTTGAATTGTTTTATGGTGTCACACCCTTTAGGGGTATCGACAATGAGCTAACCCTAGCAAACATTGTGGCTCGAGCACTTGAGTTCCCAAAGGAACCCACCGTGCCAACCATAGCAAAGGACCTTATCTCACAATTATTGGTTAAGGACCCTTCGAGGAGGCTAGGGTCAACAATGGGGGCTTCCGCAATCAAGCACCACCCATTTTTTCAAGGTGTTAATTGGGCATTGCTAAGATGTACAACACCACCCTTTGTGCCCCCACCTTATACTAAAGAAGCTGTGTCTGATGAAAGTTGTCCACAGACTCCAATTGATTATTATTGATGATGATAGGTGGAGGAAAAGTACAGTTAATAAGATCATAGTTCCACGAAATTTAATTAATCATTTTCCATTTTTCCTCTTCTTCTTGTTCTTTTTCTTAGTTAATTTTTTCACCACACTCGTGTCTTTATATTTAAGAGGCTTAAATGGAAAAGTGTACTTGTCAACCAATTATGGTAATTAAGCTTGATGACAAGTAATGGGGTGGAGTGGCGTGCCATGTGGAAGACTTGAAACCGTACTTGGTTGGTGATTTATAATGTGGTTGGTGTTAGAAGTTACACGTGATTTTAATATTTTTGATGAGTTTATATAGACATTAATAGGGGCTGTGAGATATTAAGGTCAACAGAGATATGGGCTACAACGAGATCAGACAACGTATGTATAAACAATGACATTGACTTTGGAAGAGCTAGCTAGGACGAGAAAAGCGCGGTGGCATCGCGTGGTCGGTTATCTAATTGATCGAGGACGGGTCCGGGGTTGCTGAGAGCCACGTACAAGACCATGCCATTTTATGTTTTTTGTGGCATTCTTATTTGTGAAGAACATGCATCAGACCACGTGAAATGTCGTGTTTTACGTGTACATGACAAATGTGGGTCTTGGTTGGAGCCACTAGCTGGTGATTATTGAGAATCATCCTTCCTTTTATATTTCTGATCATTTAGGAACTTCTAAGAAACAAACGGTTCTGTCTGATTGGCTTTGAATATTAACCAGCTGCCGGAGGTGTCTGTATATATGGTAAGTTTAATTAATATTGGTAATACATTTTTCTCTTTTAAGAATGGTCAAGGAAATTATTTGCGCCAGGATTTCCTTTTCTGTAATATATGAAATGATTCATTAATTAATTTGCAAATGTAAGGCTAAAAAAGTAGAGGTGTTAATTCGGGTTGACACAATATAAATTTGACACGAAACGAATGCATCGATTCAGCACGAATTTTTATTCATATCAAAATCTTTAACACGAACACAACTCGCAAATTTTACGAGTTGACATGATACAATATGACATAGATAATATGCAAATTGAAATTTATGAGTTCTTAACACCGACAAGAATATGTTTTTGGGTGACATGACACGACTCAAATTGATCAAAACAGTAAATATCTGAAATATTATGGGTCAAATGCTTGTTTGCATCTTTACCATTACACGACACGAATTTTTACGTGTCATATTTTACTAACACGAATTTAAATATGCGTCAACTTAAAAATGAATTTTCGTATCATATTCGTGTTGTGTTAGCGTGTCGAGTCATCCTTCTCTAAAAAGGCACTTCTAAGAAATAAAGAAAAAAAAATCTAAAACGCACTCATTCAGAAATACCTTGTTTAATTTTGGCTAAAGTTCAGATATTATTTTCAAAATTTATTTTACTACTTGAAGAAATGGATTAGATTAACAATGGGAAAAGTTAGTTAAATATAAATTTCTGCCAATGGGATTGACACTGATGAATTCTGCTAGTCAACTAAAAATATACTTCATCCATTTTAAAATTTAGTTTTTTAAGAAAGGTATTTTACTTTATTTTATTTATTAATTTTGAAAAATATAAAAAAATTAATTTATATTTACTTTTCAATATCTTCCGTCGATAAAATAAAATAAAATATTAAATTAGTTAAAATGATAAAAAAAAATTAAATCTAAAAATATTAAACAACTAATAGTTTAAAACGTTCGCATGTCAACAAATGTCAATGGTATCAATCTGCTAGTATATATTACAGTAATATTATTTTCGGAGCATGCTAGTCTCGTATTGTAAGAGACTAGTATCATGCTATATACACATAACATGTAGGATTCACTCATTTATTTATTTTTAAAAAAATAGATCTCACATATTTTATATTTATAGGGTTTGGTGTTTGTCATTTTAAATGACATAAGTTATGTCATTTTAGGAGAGAGATAAACACAGAAAAACGAAAATCATGGGAGAGAGAAAGTGGATGATTTTTTTTAATTTAAAATTCAAATTTTTTGTGTCTGTATCTCTCTAAAAATGACATAACTTTCTGTCATTTAGAATGACAAACACTTTTCCCATATTTATAATATGATATATTAGTCTTCTGTAATATGATATTAGTATTTTCCATTATTTAAATACAAATTTCTGTACAGCCCATGAGGGATATGTAAATATGCAATGCTCGTTTTCCCCCAAAACAGGCAACTATTTCAATGTTTGGAATGAAATAGTGGGTTTGAGTCCTAGAGGCAGTTAAAGCTTTACGACCCAACCCAATGTCCATTGTCCTTTCGCAGTTTACACTCGAATGGAATAAATTATAAAAACGACGTGCCGTTCTGAGGATTAGTATAGTGATGTTCCTCATCAGAAGAAGAGACTACTGCCTCCATTTACGGCGCCTAAACTCATAGATACCATATAGTTTCGAAATTAGGGTTTGCTTTCTATCAAGTGTGAAAGTAGCTCTTTCTGAAATATTTTCAGAAAAATAAACGGTTGAATGAAAATTTTGTTGAGTGTGTATGATGAGAAGAAATATTCTCACTATTAAAATTTTCCATTATCAACTTACTACCTATCTAATCACCATTAGATTAACATTTTCTCTCTCTTCAAATACATTTTAACATTCTTTCTTTTTTTGATCCAATGGTGATGTGATGAGTAGTAAGTTAGTAGTGAGAATTTTTTATAGTTAGAATATTCTCACTCGTGTATGATATATGAAAGTAGACAAAATAAACAATTTTCATTTTGTTATTTTTCCTCCCCTTTTACAGGTACGAAAAAAGTTGTATGCTGCCTTGTGTGGTAACAAAAGTCGCTGTTTCAGGTGAAGCATTTTTCATTATTGGAAGTGCCAATTGTGAAATATGTGATTGCCAATTCTGCTTTAAAACTAATTTGCAATCAATTATAAAAAAAACTTCCCAATAAAAAGTAGACGGCTGAGAACTTTTAACAAAAAATTTGAATCCATCAATCCTATTAGCTGCTAGCTTTACTGTTGTCGATTTATTTTTTAAAACATTTTATGCTACGAACGTATCTGAAGCATGAACACCAGTACGAAATTAAACTTTTTATATAGCATTGTTAAAAACCTTGAAGTCACCACCCCAAAAGCTAGCTCAAGGGGTGGGAGTGCCTAAGGCCTTATAAAGGCCATATTAGTTTCTCATCCAATCAATGTGGGACTATATATCTCAACACGCCCCCTCACGCAAGAGCCCTTTAGGCTAGAAGGGTGGAAATTGCACGCACAGGCCCATTTTTTGTTTACCTTAGGCTCTGATACCATGTAAAGAACCTTGAGATACATCACCCCAAAAGCTAGCTCAAGGGGTGGGAGTGCCCAAGGCCTTATAAAGGTCATATTAGTTGTCCATCCAATCAATGTGGGACTATATATCTCAACACGCCCCCTCACGCAATAGCCCTTTGGGCTAGAAGCGTGGAATTGCACAGGCCCAATTTTTGGTTTACCTTTTGTGCTTTTTTTTTTATTTTTAATTCCACTCTTTAAAGCGGGGGACGGTGAGGCTTTGATACCATGTTAAAAACCTTGAAGTCACCACCCCAAAAGCTAGCTCAAGGGGTGGGAGTGCCTAAGGCCTTATAAAGGCCATATTAGTTTCTCATCCAATCAATGTGGGACTATATATCTCAACAAGCATAAACATTGGTGCCTTGTTACGATCCTACTCTAAAATTCGAGACTTAAAATTCTATATTGGTTATATGGGTTACTAATATGGACTTTGGGCTTTCTTACCTCTGAGTTAGCTTTTGAGTAGAGGTGTCAATATAGGTTATGACATGCAGGTCGACCCGCGACATGACACAAAAATTCGTGTTTGGATTGATCCGCAAAAAATGACACTGTAAAAAATTTGTGTCATATTCGTGTTGATGTATTCGTGTCCGTGTTGATCCATATTTTTTTAATTTTTAACTTTGATTTTCATATTATTATTTTTTTAATTTCGACTCGTGTCGTATTCGTGTTAAAGATTTTGACACGAATAAAAATTAGTGTCGTGTTCGTGATGATATATTCATATCGTGTCAAAATGAATTTGACACCCCTACTTTTGAGTCGTATCAATTGATATCAGAGTCTTTCACTATGTTTCCCGGTTGCAATCGAGAGGCACGGATGGTGACACTGACATTGCAGTGTTCATCCAAGGCTAGTAAAAAATTAATGCAAAACCAACCCACGTGGAAGCTCAGACTACATAGCATAGTGGAATGTTATTATCCTACTCCAAGATATGTGAGTTAGAATCTCATATTGGTTATATAGGTTATTAATATAAGATTTATATGACCATTGAACTCTCCTACCTCTTGAACTAGTTTTGAGATGAGTTACTCAAGGTTCCATCCATTTTTTATAGAGCAGAATCATCAAGTTTCAAATACTTATTGGGCTATGAATTCCTGTCCGCAAAGTTCGTTTTCTCTTACTTATATACACAAAATGTCAACTTTTACCAACAAATTTTGGGGATTCACTCTTTTATTGTTGTGCTAAACGGATTCAGATAATCTAAAATCTGAGAATTCTGAAGTTCGAAATTAGCATCTTCATCTATCTAAAATTGAGCATAATAGTTTTAGGTGGGTAAACTGTTTAATGAGGAACTTAATTGTTTCCCTATAATAGTGCTCTTAGATGCAGTGGCATGGACTAGAGTTGTATGGAGTAACTGTATAACTCAGAAAGGAGGATGATAAGGGACTCCATTTCTGTGCGAGAGGCAAGCGTGTATGAGGTGAGCTAGCGTGTATGACGTGAGCTAGTACAGGGAGTGAGATATCCTATCCTTTGCTATGGGGATCTAAAAATCTCACTAGGGAGATAGGGAAATGACTCCTTAAATAGGCGATGGGACAGGGCTAGTGAGGCCAGACCAGAACAGTGGAGTATGGCATACCATTATTTTTTAATGCCTATTCATAGGGCCTGTGGATGTAGGTGCTGATCTTGTCAATTTGAAGTCAATTCAAGTTTCCTGAGTGCAGGCTCCTGGGAAGGATGAACATGTATGTTTAATTCTGGAAATCACAATTTGGTTCCAAGTGTTCCAGTGTAGGATGTTCGACTCGTACTGCCAGACTAAACAACATATTTCCTAATCGATTCAGAAAATTTACTACCAGTCTTGTACTAGTAAGTAGTAACAATGAAATGCAGAAAATTAACTAACCAATAGGTCAAGCAAATTACATTCAAAACATGGCTAAATAATATCAGACAGTTTGATGCCATTACCTTGGATCAATTGATAAAGCAAAACCCATAAAGCCTAATACAAAATGTAACTCAAGTAACAAAACCTTGTGACTCAACTAAAACTCTAACTGGAACTGCAAAAAGAAGCACTTCAGACCTTTTAGTCAAATAAACTAAAACCCATGTCCTGCAGAACAAAGATGATATATACAAATTTTAGCAGAGTTATGAATTTATAAAATAACAATCAATAGTACAGCTATTTTGAAACTTACATCGTCAGACTCTTCCTTCTCTTCTACCTTCTTTTCCTCCTTTGCCTCAGCAGCAGGTGCAGCGCCACCAGCTGCAGCACCTCCTGCAGGTGCAGCAGCAACAGCAACAGCACCACCACCACCAGAAGGTACTGAAGCCAACTTCTCTCTACCACTAGCAATTACCTCCGCAATATCTTTGCCCTTGACTTCAGTTAAAAGAAACTCAATCTTCTCATCCTCAGCCTCAATTCCAACTATATATCATAAACAAAAATGAATTCACTCCAGACAATTCAAATTTGAATGTTTTACTTCCTTCATCATGGAGTGTTTCCTATACTCTCAGCAACAACAAAAAATTGCTAGTAAACTATATTAAAAAAAAAAGTACTACGTTTCCTCATACAATGCTAGGCAATAGGAGATAGGAAAAAAAGGAGAAAAAATCCATGGGTAAATTACAGGTTAAAATTGAAACCAAACATCATTCAACTGTAGTAATAAATAAATAAATAAAGTCTCAATATTTCCAAGATATAATACACATTATAGATATTTAACTGCGCCTCATATTTTCAATGTTTGATTTTTCATTTATCTAATTATCGATTCCACGAATCGAATACGTAAATTAACATATAAAAAAACAGATACATTGCCCCTACATTCTAGAATTGAATACACAAAAGTAACTATAGCAATAGGAAAACCACAACATCCTCCAGGTACCATCCATTAACCCAGAAAACAAAAATAATCAAAATATGATAATAATAAAAAAAAAAAAACAAAGTTTTACCAGATCAGAAAAATTAAGAAGAAATAGGGATTATGCACCTGCGCCTAGGATGTTCTTGAGATTATCAGCTGAAGGGGATGAATTTCCTCCCAATACGGCCAGCAAATACGCAGCGATGACCTTCATATCTGACTCCAAAAAAAGTTAACAATAATAGTTAGTAATGCAAATCAACAAGGCAAGGAGATTAGAATGATTTGAGAGGTCGAAATCATACTTGCTGGAAGCAACAGAGAATTTCGATTTCGATTTCGATTTTGTTACTAGGGTTCCTGCAGAGTGAGAGGCGCAGAGAATAACGATTCATATTATATAACTAGGGTTTTCAGCACTTGGGCTTCATCATTCTTTATTTTCCTAAAATGCCCCTCTACTGTTGATTTCATTGGCGTTGGCAAATGTGTTTAGTTGATATAGTAATAGGAGGATATATAAATTAGGGAAAGATATACTTATTATTTTATTATTATTATTTTTTATTATTAAATTTTAATCGTTGATTTTTATCAATTTAATGATTATAATTTATTGGGTCACATATTAATTAATTATTATGTTTTTAATAAATTATAACTGTTAGATTGACAAAAATTAACGGTTAAGATTTGATAGTAAGAGATAGTAAAAACAAATATAGTAAGTATAATTTTTCCCATATAAATTTGTGAGAAAATGTTCTAAAAAAAATTGTGAGGAAAGGATAAACTCTATTTTTTAATTTTTTGGCAAAGCCTAAACTCTTCGTTTATTTCTATGATTCAGCCACACAATTAAAATAATTTTATAGAAATTATTCAATTATACCACCGTCTTTGGGAGAGGTTTAAACTTTAAAGTCTTAATTTTGGTATCCATTCCGAATCAGACTAGTCTCCAAACAATCAATCGATTGAAATATCTCAAAAAAATAAATAAATTATTCAATTATAGTCATCGAAATTATTTGTAATAATGATTTATTGTTATTAATTGGGTTTAAAGTTGGCCCATTGTAAGTGAAATTATGATATTATTTAATAATTTATTAGTATATTATTAAAAGGATTTAACTTTGTAGATAACAATTAAAATTGTTAAAATTTAATAATTTGATATTATATAATTTAAGGATGATATAATAAACTTTTCATTAACATTTGATTAAATTTAATTCCTATTGATGTTTGATCTGCCAAAACATAGGCTTGTAATTTTTTTTAAAGGACATTTTGAGGTAACTCATATTTCTACAAAAATAATGTAATTATATTGGGAAAAGTATTTCTTCGGTCACCGGAGATAAAATTATCTCTAATGAGCTCAAAACGATGTCGTTTTGCGTTATAAGATTAAAAAATTATAATGATAAAGACTAATATAACCTTGTAATATCTTATAATTACAAAAATACTTTGATTTTCGTCCCAAAACGACGTCGTTTTGGACTTACCAAAAATAACTTATCTCCATTGACTGGAGAAATCCTTTAGCCAGTTATATTATGGAAAGAATCCATATGTACAGATATTGTGTGTAAATGTTACATAAAGAAATGTGTGTGTATTGTGTATAAATTATTATAAAAATAAGGGTTCACTTTTCTGCAGTTACTGCAGATAACTTATCTGCAGCAAGCCTAATACGACGTCGTTTTGGAGCGGAAATCATGGTGTTTTTGTAATTTTAATTTATTTCAGGATTATTATAGTCTTTATAATTATAATTATTTAATTTTTCAATCCCAAAATGACATCGTTTTGAAAGTAAATGCAGATAATTTATCTGCACTAACTGTAGAAATATTATTCTGTATTGTTAAATATAATAGGTTAACTTTTTCTTTTCACAAATTAACTGATTACTCAATTAAATTTGGTTCAAGTTTGGTTGGACTCCTCTGATTATTTCAAAACTATTTTCTCTCTGAACTTTGAATCTTTAATTAAGGAAAACAAACTTTTATCATTATAATCAATAATTATTAGTGATTCAAGTATATCTCTTTAAGTTTTTTAAAGTTACATACAACGTTTTTTCCACAAGCTATTTTTTAATCCTTCTGAAAAAGAAAAATATTTTTTTAATCAAAAAAGTTATATAATTATTATAAAAAAAAAATTCTTTAATAATCCTCAAACAGAACTTTAATGATGTATGAGTCCTACATGAATTTTTTTTTTTTACAATTATTTCATAAAAATCATTTTTGCCCAATTTTAAGTTTTTGTTTTTCACGAAACATATTTACATTCTAAAAAGTTTAAATAAAAAACTATAGGATGAAAATGATACAAAATAACTGTAAATATAAACCAAGTACTACATGTAGTCATAATCCGCGTGGGCCGAAGACCAAACAGTCCACAAAGACCAACGCTCATAGACAGACAATGCATTAAATTAACAGAAATCTAGTCCACATTTTTTTTAAATCAGTATTATTATAAATATAGACACTTTAAAAAAGGATACACAATAACATCTGAAGTTTCTCTTTACATGGAAGTCATGATTGAGGTGGCCAAAATGTGAAGAAATTTTGGGATAATCTAGACATTACCGAATAAACTACTACTTTTCTTTTTTCCTTTTGACAAGTACGGAGTAATCTACCAAAGTATCACGTACAAATTCATCTATGGGGCGTGAGCTCTTTTTTTCCCTTCCCTTTTCGTCCCCTTGTCCTATATAAATAAAACCAATCACCAGGTTGATATGCTAGCATGACTTACGCTCGCCTGTACTCATCTCCACAATCACCAATCACTTTAAGCAGATTCTTTCCTTTCCCTGAGGCTTCTCTTATGCTGTTCATATCGTCTTCATCAAGAACAAGTGAAAAGATAGCATTGGAGTCTTGAATATGTTCTGACAAGCCCAGTCTGACACCAACCATTGATCCTGCTACCGCAGGCTGCAAGTTTTACAAAAACCAAAATAAAAGGAATATCTACCACGGCTCCTCCACTGTAATATGAGATTTTAGATTAATTAGAATAGCAATTCCAGCAGAGAGAATAAATCAACTTCACCTGATCTAGTATATACTTCACAGCAACAGTTGAGATCGAAACACCATGTTTAGAAGCTACTTGTTTAAGAGTCCGAAGCAGTCCCTGGAACAAACTCCATCCTCCCCAAGCATCTACCATCTGCCACGTGATGCAAAGTATAGAAAAACATATGAATATAACTTACGTTATAAGGACAAAAAATCAAATCCCCCCTCCTCATGTTCTCACGCAGGACAAGCATAGCCTGTGCATACTGGTGGGCCAGCGGGGGAAGACCGCCATCCATGGATTAATTGAGCAATAACATTAAATGGGCTTAGACACCACAATCAAACCTAAAATCTTAAGGCATTGGATTTATAGGTCCTTTCACTTATATGTACTATGTTTAGCCCATTTCTTCTCAATGCGGAACTTTTTATCACCCACGCTTGAATTCCCAGCCTGCCATACCTTTTTCTCTGCCTAAACGACTAATCCTGGTTTTTCAATATAATGAAATCAGAGGGGATAGATACTTTCTATAGAGCACCAATGAAGGTGCTGAAAGTTTCTTACATTGCCACAAGAAAATAAATGGTGGTGTCAAGAAATCATACCCTTTTGTACTTTTGGAGGGAGGGTGTGTTTATTGCAGGACCAGCGAAAGGAATAGCTATGTTGGTGTCAAGGAACTTCTCAGACAATAGCCCACCCATTACCGTCCCATATCTGCATCACAAACTGATATGCTAAGAGAAAAAAATATGCTAGTTTTATTTTCTTCACTTTTATATCATATTTAGGTGAACTATTTTCTGCAGCTGAAATAATATTTTTTCTTGCTGAGAGAGAGAGAGATGGACGTTATAAGTTTGACTCCAGTAAGCTGACAAAGTTCTGCCATTCCTTGTTGGGGACGCATATCCACAATTGAATGTTGCACCTGATAGAGAAGATACCAATAAGAATCACGAACCATCATTAACTATTAAAAAAGCTGAGAACAGATAAATTAAAGCACTTGGATTTACCTGATTGCTCACAACAGGAATCTCATTTTCGAGAATAATCTGTAATCTCTCTGTATCAAAATTTGTCAAAGCCACAGTTTTGATTTTACCTGTACAGGGCTAACTGAAGCCGTTTGATCAAATCAAGAAATGTGAACTTACATGTGAATTCTTATCCGTTAATAAGAAAAACAAAACTAACCTTCCTCTTTCAAGTCCGTGAGGTGTTTTAGTGCATCAAGGTAGCCTGAATTTGAATAATCCCACCTACATCCATAAGAGACAAAGGAGAATTGTCATAAGAATTTCAAACTTCACATAATTAGAATTATCTTCAACAACAGTAGTTCAACAAGATAATGGAAATTGATAAGCGGCACTTCGATTCAAAACTTTTAGGCATTGAGTGAGACTTAATTAATTATTTTATATCTTTTGTATCTCTCTAACACACCCATCAATCCTCATACAGGGCTTGAAATGTGGATATTGCACAGACCAATTTTTTTGTCTACCTTTTGCTACACAGGCCCATTTTTTGTTTACATTGTGCTTTTCGTAATTCCACCTGAAAGTGGGAGGTGGTGAGGATCGAACTCATGACCTCCTAATCACTCTAGCTCTGATACCATAAAAAGAATCATTTCAACTTAAAAAACCTTAAGGCATTAGGTCAGACTTAATTAATTATTTTATATCTTTTGTATTTCTATAAATTAAATAAAATACTCATTTCAGTAATAGACAAGGACGCAAAATGTATGAAGTTGTAATTCTCCCTAAAAACTTTAAGAACTGTATAAAATAATCACAATAAAGAGAGAGAGAGATTAAATACCAATGAAACTGAAGCATGTCCAAGGAATCCACATCCATTCTCTTCCTTGAAATATTAACGCTATCTCTTACATAACTACTTGTCATCTTAACTGGCGGTGGCACCCACTTAGTGAGACTGCATCAAGTAGTACAATGGCTAATTCTGTTATGATTCAGTTACATAATTTGTTATGATTCAGTTAGCATTCTGTTTGTCTGTTATGCTTACAGTTACTCATAAACTGTACAGTTAATTAGAAGTGTTTTCGTCAACTCACCCTCTGATCTGTTCCAAGAATTCTGGTGGACGCTCACGACGAACTCGATTGATGAAAAGCCCATATAGATCTTCAGCGGGCCCATCTGCAAAGCCCAAAGAACACAACAATGAGGAAAAACAATTCTCATAACGGTTGAGAACAATTTGACTACGTACAGTGATCGGCCATGTCGAAGGTGGAAAGGCCGGAGTCGGCGTAGCGGAGCATGGCATCGACGGCGTCGTTTCGGTCGATTCGTCCCCAACCGCCGCTGGTTTGCCACATCCCGTTAAGGACTCGGCATATGTCCAGGGAATCGTTCCTGTTACTCAATGTGACCCGGCGATTCTCACTCGCGGTCGTGGTGGTGCTCAAGCTTACATCAGCGCACCGAACCGAGTTTGTGCTGATCCCTCGCGATTGCGATTGTGACTCTCTCCATCTGGTTCTGGTGGAGTTGAAGCGCGTTAGGGTGCAAAATAGGTGGTGGTGATGGTGGCTCACTAGCGCTGCCATTTGTTGCTGAGAGACAGAAGGAGCGAGTGAAGAAGAGAGGATAAGGAAGGAGAACCAAGAACGTCTTCGTTTTTCGATTTTTTGAAATGACGATAATGCCACTATTTCAAAAGTCGCGGGCCCAGATGAACAAGTCCATACTAATGTTGGTTTTGTTCAAATAAGAACTGGAAGCTCCAAAAATTGGAAGTCCATATGGACGTCTATCATTATTAGAAATCAATAAATAAACGATGCAACAATCAAGCAAGGAGATCAATTAATAACTAAAATTAAATGTACATAACGAATTTGTAATCTCGAATTTGAGTTTATGTTAAAACTTGATAGGAAGAGTTATTCCGTTAACTTGATAGGAAGAGTTATTCCGTTAACTTGATAGAGAGAATTTTATCGCACATATAGTCCTACCTAACTTGAAACAAATTAATTGAGTAATAGATAAATCGATGTATCATATGAAAAATATGGATCTGAATCTTCACATGTGAAAAAGTGATCATGTTATTTGATTATAATCACTCATTTATTACATGAGTCAATGGTCCATAGTCCTAAAGCCCACAACAAATGTAAATCAGCAGCCCAAGATCAATCAACAGCCCAAGCAAGTATGTTACCGGATAAAGTATCAAGAGATGCAAACCCTCATTCCACGTCAGAAGCATACGCACGAAGGACTAATCATCAAAGAAGCTGAAATAACAGAATCTTGTTATTAGATTTTATTTCTGTTGGTTAGTTTTAACTGTATCAGTTATTTTTCCATGTTTAGCTTCTTTTCTTCTCATTCTTAATGTACTTTAAGCTTACCTATAAATAAGGAAGCTTTAGTGTAATTATCAGATAAGTGATCAATGTTATCAGCATTCAATATTCTGTTATGGTATCAGAGATTTAGTGACCACAAGGTGAACAGATTCTCGCAGTCTGACATTTTTCGTGTATCTGATCTCCAAGAGGAGATTTATAAGTTGCAGCAAGGTGAACGATCAGTTACCGAGTTCTTTACTCAACTCAAAACAATGTGGGATGAGTTGGAGAATTTGAAGCCTTTGCCTACGTGTGAATGTGTTCCTCCTTGTGCATGTGGAGCAATGATGAAAATTAGAGATTATAGAGACAGAGACCATGTGATTCGGTTTCTGAAAGGTCTTAATGATCAATATGCCTCAGTAAGATCACAAATAATGCTCATTGATCCACTGCCTAGCGTGAATAAAGCATTTTCCATGATTGTCCAACAAGAGAGACAATTTGGATCTGATTCTAACAACAATGCTTTGACTAATTCTTCATCTTTTGCTATGTCCAATAATAGTGCAGGCACCAATAATCGCATATCCTTTGCTCAAAATGGAGGACGTGGAATGACAAACAATGGTAGAGGACGTGGAAGAAATTATTTTGGACGAGGAAATTCTGGAGGTAGGCTTTGCACAAATTGTGGAAAGTCTAACCATACAATAGAAACCTGTTACCAGTTGCATGGATATCCTCCTGTCGTTATTGAGCACCAGATTCAAATGCTGCTAATAATGTCTAAAATGAAGGGGCAACTGGCTCTAACAATCAATATCAGGTTCAGAAAACTGATGGTCATCCTCATTTATCTCATGAACAGTATCTACATATTTGCTCCCTTCTGCAAGGATCTAAAAATAATAATGCAGCAAGCTCTTCAACACATGTTGCGAATGTGGTTCAAGTCTATAATGCTGATATGAATGTGACAGGTACATTGAATGATCAGTGGATCATTGACACAGGGGCCACTGATCACATCTCTTATTCAGCTTTGCATTTTAGCTCTTTACATGAGATAGAACCAATTCTAATAAACCTGCCTAATGGTTCTCGAGTCAAAGCAACCCATTCTGGTTCAGTTGTTTTATCACCAGAACTATTGTTATGAGATGTACTCTCTGTACTTGAGTTTCATGTTAATTTAGTTTCAGTTATGAAATTGCTGCAAACTATTAACTACTCACTTACTTTCTATGGTTCATGTTGTTATATTAAATTTATCCAATCCAAGGAGACGATTGGTTTTGGCAAGCAAAGGAATGGATTATATGTGATAGTCAGTATTATAGCTAAAGTCCAAGATCATCAAGCTTGCAAGAAGAACAACAACTGTGTCAATAATTCTGCTAGTAATTCAAATACTTATTTCTTATGGCATAGACGCCTAGGACATGTATATAACGAAGTGTTGCGTGTTATGTCCTCCAAGTTCTTCTTTATTCCTTATAGTCATGTAAATCCATGTAATGCATGTCATTTAGCCAAACAAAAAGACTTCCCCTTCCAATTAGCCAAAATAAATCAGCAAATGTATTTGATGTATTACATGCTGATATATGGGGACCCTTTGGAATAATGTCAACACATGGATACAAATATTTTCTGACTTTAGTGGATGATTTCTCACGGTTTACATGGGTTGTTTTAATGAAATCCAAAAGTGAGACACGTTTGAATATTCAACACTTCTTTGCATATGTTGAAAACCAATTTAAAAATACAGTCAAGGTATTTAGAAGTGACAATGGAAGTGAATTCTGCATGAATCAATTTTTTCTGCAAAAGGGTGATATTCATCAAACAAGTTGCATTGAAACTCCACAACAAAATGCCATAGTGGAGAGTAAACACCAACATCTGCTTAATGTGGCTCGAAGTTTGTCATTTCATGCATCATTATCAATCACACTATGGCCATATGCCATTACCCATGCATCACATTTGATTAATCGTGTCTGCTCTCCCACCCTTGCAAATAAATCCCCTTATGAATTACTTCATGACTCACCAGCAAATCTTGATCACCTTAGAGTATTTGGTAGACTTTTCTATGCCCCACACTCCAATCTCTCAGAAACAAATTATGGATGCACTGCTTGAACTCATCATATCTTTGGCCGCTTCCAATGGAAAATATACCGATTGGTGTTTGGAGATTCTTGTGGAAATTTTTGTGCCACCTAATAAACAGGAGAATGGAATTGACAGGAAGAATAAAGTTCTATCCCGAGCGCACGCTGCTTTGAAAGAATTAGTTGATTTAGTGCCCCTTGCCCCCCTTGTGACTATCTCCAATAGTTGTCCAGCGAATGCCGAGTGTCTTCAGTAAAGAACCTGTGATTGTCCTGTATGTGGAGAATATGTTACGGCTGGAAGGTGGTGCAATTGGTGAAATTGTCAGTGGTACAATGCTGCCTGCACTTGTTGATAGGTTGATAGAGTTGGATGTTCAGATTGGATGGGATGGCATCTTGCAGGAAGATTTTAAGGGCATATTTGAAATAGAGTTAGATGACGTTACTGAATTTGAAGATAGGGATGAGAAATATGATGACAAGCATCATGCAGAGCTGTTAAATAGGAAAAATTTACAAGGCAACATGGCTGTTGAGAAATTAGATAGCCTAATGGAGCTGACTTTTTTGCATCTTGAATCATGTCAAAGCAGTGGCCGTTTGACCGAGGTCTTCACTGTTCTACTAACATCATTTAAGAGAACTGTATTGAATGCCTACAAGTCAAAGTTTAGTCAGTTTGTGATGTTCTATGCTTGTGCACTGGATCCCGAAGGGTGCGGTGTGAAATTTGTCATGGCTCTTGTGGAGATGTTTGTTTGTGATGTTGATCCCCTATTACTAGGATGAGTGTTGTTGCTTATCTTGGTAGTTATTTGTCCCGTGCAAAGTTTCTTTCAACTGCACTGGTTGCTAGCATCATACAAAGATTAGTAGATTGGTGTTTTGACTATTGTAAGTTACATGAATTTGATATGAATCTGTGAGCGCATAAAGTTTTTTATTCTGGGTGCCAGGCCATTATGTGTGTTCTGTGTTTTCGCATGAGATCATTAATGGACGTTCCAAGGCTCAAATTACAGCTTCTGAATATGCCCATAGAACCAATCTTGAAACATAAATTGAATGCCTTGAATGTGTGTTTGCCTACTGTAGTAGGGGAATTTCTTAGACAGGCTAAGGCTGCTCATCTTTTCATGGTTTATCTCATGAACAATATCAGCATATTTGCTCCATTCTGCAAGGATCTAATAATAATAATGCAGTAAGCTCTTCAACACATGCTGCGAATGTGGTTCAAGTCTCTAATGTTGATACGAATGTGACAGGTACATTGAATGATTAGTGGATCATTGACACAGGGGCCACTGATCACATCTCTCATTCAGCTTCGCATTTTAGCTCTTTACATGAGATATAGTACATTTATCTCAGGTACATCTTAAACTGAACTGATGAAGGTACGGGGACACGACTCTAATATTATTATTAGAGTCCATCCATAACATAACAATCAATCTCAGGTTCAGAAAACTGATGGTCATCCTCATTTATCTCATGAACAGTATCAACATATTTGCTCCATTCTGCAAGGATCTAATAATAATAATGCAGCAAGCTCTTCAACAAATGCTGCGAATGTGGTTCAAGTCTCTAATGCTGATACGAATGTGACAGGTACATTGAATGATCAGTGGATCATTGACACAGGGCCTTTCAGTCTCTCAGTCTAACATTGTCTGCAAACTCCAAAAATCTCTTTATGGTTCAAATCAGGTAAGTAGGAAGTGGTATGCCAAGTTATCTTCTGTGTTGCTTTCTCTTGGTTATAAGCAACCAAATGTTGGTCATTCACTCTTTGTCCTGGCTACTCCAAATTCGTTCACTGTCCTTTTGATTTATGTGGACGACATAATCCTTTCTGGAGATTGCCTAGTTGAAATTCATCGAGTCAAATGCTTCCTGGACCAGTGTTTTAAAATCAAGGATCTTGGCAACCTTCGATTTTTCCTTGGTCTTGAAGTTGCACGTTCAAAAGATGGTATTATGCTCAACCAACGCAAATATACCCTTGAGTTGTTATCTGATGCTGGGCTTCTTGGTTCCAAGCGTTATCTACTCCCATGGATGCCTCTGTCAAGTTGAGTCGCACCACTGGTTCTCCTCTTTCAGATGTTGCTTCATATCATCGTTTGATTGGCCGTCTCCTCTA